CGGTCTGGTCCGGTCTGGTCTGGTCTGGTCTGGTCTGGTCTGGTCTGGTCCGGTCTGGTCTGGTCTGGTCCGGTCCGGTCCTGTCCGGTCCTGTTCCTCTGCTCAGAACCAAGAAGCCCACCTGTGCGACGCGCTGCATGTGTCCGCTGTACGACGCCAGCAGGCAGGCCTGGATCGAGCTGCAGCCCATGAGCACTGCCCGGGTGGGACACGGGGCGGTCTCTGCAGGTGAGTCCGGTGTCGCTCACAGGTCCAACAGAACCACAGGTGAGTCGGGGCCGAGCAGCAGGTCTGAGAGTGACCCGGTTCTGTTCTGTCTGCCAGAGGGCTTCCTGTTCGTCCTGGGAGGAACCGACGAGAACAACACGGTCCTGGACCACGCCGAGAAATACGACCCCAATTCCAACACCTGGAGCCCTGTACCAGCCATGCTGCAGGTACTGAGTACTGCAGGCACTGAGTACTGCAGGCACTGAGTACTGCAGGCACTGAGTACTGCAGGTAGTGAGTACTACAGGCACTGAGTACTGCAGGCACTGAGTACTACAGGCACTGAGTACTGCAGGCACTGAGTACTACAGGCACTGAGTACTGCAGGCACTGAGTACTGCAGGTACTGAGTACTACAGGCACTGAGTACTGCAGGTACTACTCAGTACTCAGAAGGAGTACAGCAGGACATGTAGGAGGACATGTTAGACCGGTCCACAACATTGAGACATTCCTGTCTTAATGTGTCCAATAGCATTGTGGTCTCTGGTGTCTCTGTCTCTGGTGTCTCTGGTGTCTCTGGGGTCTCTGGTGTCTCTGTCTCTGGTGTCTCTGTTGTCTCTGGGGTCTCTGGGGTCTCTGGTGTCTCTGGTGTCTCTGGGGTCTCTGGGGTCTCTGATGTCTCTGGTGTCTCTGATGTCTCTGGTGTCTCTGGTGTCTCTGATGTCTCTGATGTCTCTGGTGTCTCTGGTGTCTCTGATGTCTCTGATGTCTCTGGTGTCTCTGGTGTTTCTGGTGTCTCTGGTGTCTCTGATGTCTCTGATGTCTCTGTCTCTGGTGTCTCTGATGTCTCTGGTGTCTCTGATGTTTCTGGTGTCTCTGGTGTCTCTGGTGTCTCTGATGTCTCTGATGTCTCTGGTGTCTCTGGTGTTTCTGGTGTCTCTGATGTCTCTGGGGTCTCTGATGTCTCTGGTGTCTCTGGTGTCTCTGGTGTCTCTGGTGTCCTCAGGCCCGTCAGAACTTCGGCGTGGTGGAGCTGGACGGTCTGGTCTACGTCCTGGGAGGAGAGAACGATGTCCAGGCTCTGACCACCGTGGAGGTCTTTGATCCACATTCCAGCACCTGGAGGACCCAGACCAGCATGACCATGATCCGCAAGGTAACCCAGAACCCTGAGACCCAGTCTAGAACCCTGAGACCCAGTCTAGAACCCTGAGACCCGGTCCAGAACACTCAGACCTGGGTAAAGGTCCTTTAATGGGTCTTAAATGTATAAAAGTAAAACTTGATAAAATTAAGATATAAAACTTTATTGATCCACAGTAGGGACATTTGCACATTAGTAATTAGTAATAATTAAAAGTATTATTTGAAATGGGTCAGAAATGTTTTGATGTGTTAGTAAAATATCTCCTGACCCTCTGGACAGATGTGGTGATTAAAGATGGCTGCTGTCCCTTGTTTCTGGTGCTGAAGATGCATCAGAGTAAATGTTGGGTGATGTAACAGAGTGGGGCCAGCAGGGGGCGCTGAACTGTGAGAATGAGCTGCAGCTGTGGGACTGAATGAAAACATGTTTGTTAAAAATGAGCTGAGCAGAGGAGCAGTTTCAGACGGAGGCTTCAGGAGTGAAAGGATCAAAAATGTGCAAATAAAGAAAAAGCAGTAGGTGTGTGTGGCGGAGCAGAAACATCATGTTTGTCCTCCTGCAGGTGGGCTGCTACGCCTCCATGAATAAGAAGATCTACGCCATCGGAGGAGGTTCTGATGGGAAACTCTTTGACTCTGTCGAGTCCTTCGACCCAAAGACCCAGCAGTGGACGGGTCTGAGTCCCCTGAAGGAGCGCCGGTGAGGAGACGCTGCAGCTTCTACAGCCAAACCTGACATTATTACAAAATAAAAGCCCCAGGTTCCTGTTCTTTCAACATTTCTGCAGAAAGCTTTCATCACATGTGGACTGCAGGGACCTTTAACTGTGGTCGACCTGTGTTTTGCACAACAGGAAGTGAAACAGCGTGTGGTCGCTGTCACAATGAAACAGGAGCTGGTTTTAGTTTCAGTTTAACTGCAGCTCCTCTCTGACACACGTTGAGTCACGCAGCAGCAGCTGAGGAACAACTGGTCCAGTTTGCTCTGCAGGCTTCTGTGAAACCTGGACTGCTGCTGAGAATCAGACAGAGCAAACACCGCCTCAGAACCAGAACCAGAACCAGAACAGGTCTGGGTTTGAAGCTGCACAGGTCCTCTGAGGAACAACCTTCTCTCTGGTTCTCTGGTTCTGCTCAGGTTCGGGTCGGTGGCGTGCGGCGTGGGTCAGGAGCTCTACGTGTTCGGTGGCGTCCGGAGCCAAGAGAGTGAAAACCCCGAACAGAGACAGATGATGACCTGCAAGTCCGAGTTCTACCACGACGAGATGAGAAGGTCCGAGTCCAGCAGGTCTTTGTAGACCCTGAAGACCAGAACTGATCTTTATCACTTTGTTGTTATTATTATTANTATCAATACATTAGCATTATTAATATCACAAAACTATAAAATTAACTTAAAAGTATCATTTGAAGAACCAATTGACCCGCTGTAGGTTCATGTTTATTTCGCGTTTTTATGACGAAAAAATAATATTTAAAAACATGTCCATACAAATGATAAAAGCATTAGAATTACAACCGCTAATTTTTTAAATTTTTACATCACCATATTTTTATTTAAAATGTATTCTTTTCTCTCGCTTCGTCCGCCATTACTAGCTTAAAAAAATCTCCGGTCGGGCCGCAATGCATTATGGGATATGCTGGGCCGGGAAGGATCCATCAGACCTGTCCTTCGATTCGGGCCAAAGGAAGGACGTATTTGTCGGATGCATCGGAGGAGTCTTCGGTTTTGGACGTCCTTCGTCGCGGCGCTGTGACGTATGCAGCCGACAAATTCGACCTTCGGAGGACCCGGCCTGTTGTTTTGGACACAGCCATACTCTCAAAAAAACCACTCGCTCAGGGCAAGGCAGCTAAGGAAGGGAGGGGGCTGGGGATCAAACACATGGTACGGGGTGGGGTGCAGCAGAGCAGGTTAATTCTCCGTGCTGGAACCAATCAGAGACCTCCAGAGTCCAAAACAAGTTGTTATCAACCAAAGTACAAATCACCAGAGTTCAGTTCTCTGTCTCCACCCATCGTGGCCTTCAGACTGATCCGCCCACGGATGATACGGGTGGAGAATGGGGAGTCAAGCCTTTATTTCACGTATCATCCAGGGAGTTTTGAAACTGCTGAGCCAAGGTCAGCAGCTGCAGGGATCCAAAAGATAAACAGAATTGTTTTGGGACAAGCAGCCTTGATTTTCTCAAGTCTTTAACTGCATCTCTGAAATGGCAAAAAAATGCCAATTTTCCGAATTTCATCACCTCCTCGCCTCTCTTTCCGTCTGAATCTTCACCCAGGTGTAATCCTACTCCTCATGGGCACGCTGCTGAACTGTGATTCTCATCAGAATCACATCCAGTTTGTGACTTATCTCCCCTAAGATTTGAGTCTGTGCTTTTCCAGTATGGGAGTCTCCATCCAAGGCTCCTGACAGCTTTTCACAGGCTCGGACTGCTGTCAGGATCACTTTCATTTTCCGATAAGCCAGGACTCCTCCACAGACGATCAGCAGGAATCCAGTTATCATAAATCCAAATATATACAGATCTTCCACGTCTTCAATGGAAAGCGGGGCCAAACAGATCAGGTTCCAACCCCAGGAACCAGACACTCGCCCGGCCGCCACCATCCCACTGGGACAGCTGCGCTCCCCTCGCTCCAGTCTCAGTGTGGAAAAAATAGTGTCGATTGTGTTCAGAGACCAGTTGACCAGATCCATAATCATGACCCCCGCACGTTCGGCTTTTTTTAGGGTTTTGAGTCATAGCAGGTTAAATATTAACTATTTAAAAATATTAATTTCACTCTTTTAATTGATTTTTAAATACATATATGCATTTTTATGTTTTATGAAATGATTGTGCCACAGGGACAGTAGATTTTTTGGCACAAATATATTTTCCTTGGTGATTATTGCTCCTGGTGGAATGAAACAAATCAACAAGAAACTATAATTATTGTTATTATTATTATTATTATTATTATTATTATTATTATTACCATTAGCATTATTAGCGTTAGCCTTATTATTAGCATTAACATTATTATTATTATTACCATTAGCATTATTAGCGTTAGCCTTATTATTAGCATTAACATTATTATTATTATTATTATTATTCTTAGAGTGAATAAAATGAAACATGATTGAATTTTTTCAGTTTGTTTCAGGACAAAAAGATAAAAATCTTGTTTCAGTTTGACAGAAATGATCCAGAACCTCTCTGGTTCTTTTGTGGACCTGGTCCTGGTCCTGGTCCAGACTGTAGGTGTGTTTAACAGGTTTTTGTCTGGGACAGGTGGGTACTTCTGGACGACCAGAACCTCTGCATCCCGACCAGCTCGTCCTTCGTCTACGGCGCCGTCCCCATCGGAGCCAGCATCTACGTGGTGGGAGACCTGGACACGGGTCGGTAAAAGAACCGGAGGCCTGCGGGGCTGGCGGGAGTTCACCCGGGCCATCGGTTCTGACCCGCTTGTTCTGTTCTGTGCAGGAGCCAACTTCGACTACATCCGTGAGTTTCGGCGCAGCACGGGGAGGTGGCACCACACCAAACACATGCTGACCTCTGACCTGTCCAAAACGGCCTGCGCCGCCCTGCGCATCGCCAACTGCCGGCTGTTCCGCCTGCAGCTCAACCAGGGCATGTTCCGGATCAGGCTCTGAGTCCGGGTCCAGCTCCAGGGTCGCTGGGAGGCCCGACGGGTCGCGTTCTTCTTTGGGTCGTTTTGTATTCATCTGGAGACTCTGTTTTCTGGTGGGGGAGTTTTATTTTGAAAATTTGTGTCGACACTGTTTTATTTTGTAAAAGATAAAAATGTTTGTTTAGTTTCTTCTTAAACGTAGAACATTTATTTTCTCATCAAGCACCAACACTAGTTGACATTCCTACAGTTATTTTGCTGCAGCTGAGGCACAAAGTCTTCTCGTATAAAGACAGCTGTGTCTGTTAGCAAAATATCTCATGAACCACTGGACAGTTTTTATTCAAACCTTTAGGAAATGATCACTGGATGTTCTTCAACTGATGGAGTCAATTGATTCAAGATGGCCGCCACAGCTAGCTAAAAGTGTTGAGCTGAGGCTCCCCTCTCAAAACAGACCGATAAGCATTCCTTCAAGGACCGCTGAGTCAGCGTTCCTCAGCTGACTTCCTGTCTGTTTCCTGCAGGAAGAAATGAAACTATTTCTGCACCAGTCATCCCAGTAAAGATAAAAATGTTATTAAAACCATAAACCCTGATCAGATAAAACTTTTATTTTGAAAAACTTAAGAGTTTTTGTCAAACGTTGTGAAGAAACTGATGGGGAAAAAAAACGAACCCTGATGTTTTCCAGGGTTTTTCTGAATCTTTCCACTTCTTCCAGCATCTCCCTGTTTACAGTAAACACCTCATTTCCAGACTGTTGACACCTCCGGAGCGTCTGCGCTGCGTTCAGGGACCGAAAACAGCCGAAGTTCACGTGTTGTGACAGGCTGGACTCGTGTCTCTCTCTCTGAGGAAGTTTAGTAAGAAGCTGCTGTTTCGTTTACGTCAGAGGATTTTTATCTGGATGAAAAAATGTTGTTTTTCTTTCAGCTTTGATCCGTCAGCAGATTTCACCTGAATTCACCTGGAAGGCTGAATCCTTTTAGCTTCATGTGGAAAGAAATTCTTTCAGCTTCTGCTCACCTTGATTCCCAGCATCAAGCCAACATCAGCTAAAGAGAAAACAACTTTGAAACATGTTCAAGTAACTTCAGCTGTTAAAAAGATGAGAACCAAATCTATAAGTAGCTAAACAACAGCTGAAAGCTTCATGGACTGTTTGGTACCAAAACCCCATGACCAGCAGAACAGTAGCTAAAAGCTAAGAATGAATCAAGCACGTTGGTTCAAAGGAGTAACAGTTCTGGCTCTGGCGGCCATCTTGACAGGTGAAGTTTTATTCTGAAGGGGATAAAATAAATAAATAAATAAAAATATTCATATTCCAGTTTATGCCTGCAAATTTTTTAACGTTCTCTAAACAAAACCACAAATTTATCCTTTTTTACATTAAAAAACAAACAAATTTATCCATGTTTTAGATAAAAACAGAAATTTATCCTGTTTTAAATAAAAAACACTAATTTATTTTTGTTTTCTTTGTTTTAATAAACTGAGCTGTGATTTTCATCTGTCGGGTCAAGATTCACTCAGTCCTGGTCGGGATCAGAACCAGGAGTGTAGCATTATGGGATGGAGCTGACCCAGATCCTGTGACCGATCCAGGTCTCAGGAGATGTTCTGACCAGACAAACCTCACTGGATCTAAAGTAGATTAAAAATAAATCTTTATTTGATACATTTAGATTTTATTCATTTCAAACAGTTATTGTGAGTTTTGAACAAAAGTCTGAATGTTTGAGGAAAATTAATAAAGTCTAATTTATTCCAGTGATCTTCATTAAGTAACTAAACAGACTTTTAGGTAAAACTAAATCTTTCAGTGATTTTTCAAACATTTCCTTTTATTCTGTTAATTTCATTTTTAATTAAATTCATGAAATCTCTCTTTTAAACTGAACATTATTCAGACATGGAGATGAAACCTTTTTCCTGTATCTTAAAGTTTGTTTTCTTTTAGTTCCTGAATTGCGTTGGTAACATCAAATATTCAACCATAAAATACAGAAAAACAAAGTTTTATCTTGACTTTCAATCTAAAGTTTTTATTTGAACAATTCTGCACTAATTTAGTTTTAAAGGCCTGAAACGTTCTGATAAATAGAAGAAGGAACTTGATTTTTGTTTGTTTTGTAAGTATTAATAAAATGATTTAATCTGGGCAGAGTTAGATTAGCAGATATGTTAGCTTATATAACAATCATTAATGGCCCCAGGATTGATCCATGAGGAACACCGTCACCTGAGTTAGCCCAGCCTTTGGGTCATTGAAGGACCTTTGAAATGAAATGAAACAGGTTTATAGTTTTGAACCAATGAAGACAAAGTTCTGTTACTTCCTGTAGATTCTGATCAAACATAATTAGTCTCAAATGATGAGAAAAGAGAAGAAAACACTTTAAACAACAAAAAATAAAATTAAATATATTTGAGAGAAATAAGTGGAAGACAGGATATAGGTTAATAAAACCACCTGACAGAGACAAAACAAAACTACAAACTGAGAAAATAAAACTAAAAAACAAACAGGAAGTGTAAAAACTGAGAAAACTGCAGACTGACAGTAAATTATGACCAAGTGATTCTAAATAAACCTGACTTCAGATGAAGAAAGGCAGGATGTTGTAAATATTTCCAGTTGTGTGTGACGAGCAGCTCTGACACATCAGACCTCCTCTCCTCAGGCAGGAGCTCAAGGAGCGGCTCGGCCCAGCCTGGCTCGGCTCAGCTCGGCCTGTTGGAGCAGGTCTGCAGAACTTCACCTGTCACACATCTGCTGGATCTGAAGCACTCTGTGGGTCTGAAACGTGCACTCTGTGGACCCATGGGGACCAAAGCCTGTACCTGTGGGGTTAGGGTCAGGTATGTTCTGGTGGGTCAGCTTATGGGGTCAGGATTTACCTGTAGAAACAACTGGAAAATGAATAGACGTCAATGCAACGTCCCCGCAAGAATAGAAAAACTAACGTGTGTGTGTGACCTGATGGAAGGTTTGATCTTCAGTTTTTAAAAACACTGATGGGAAACTTAAATATTCCAACATTAACTAACCTGAGAGGCGGTTCTGACTCACCTGGTCCAGGTTCTGACTCATCTGTTCCAGGTTCCGACTCACCTGGTCCAGGTTCTGACTCAGCTGGTTCCAGAGAACAGATTTCATTCATGCCGTCTGAAACAGGAGGAAGAGCGACCCGTTGACTCTTCTTCAGTCTGTGTGGAGGCGTGGCCCGGCCTGCTGGTTCAGAACCACAGAACCATCTTTATTAACCCTACTGGATAGAAACAAACAAACAATAAACAACAACAATGTATTGCTATCTATAAATAAAACTGAACAATAGTTAAAAGTTACTTGCATTCCTATAATTGTAATTTTGATGACGACGATGACGATGATGATGAAAGCCTTTATTGTCATTGTTTGCACAATGAAATTACATTTAAGAACACCCATTCAAGAAGACACACACATGACAAAAACATGGGTAACAGGTGATCAGGTCATGCAGCAGCCAGCATGGGTCGCACTGCCTTTAAAAAGCTTGGAATCCACACAATAGGAAAGATGAGTTTAAAAAAAGATGCTCTTATCCTATGTTTACACAGAAACACAGAATCATAGGCTGTGTCCAAAACGACAGGACGGGTCCTCCGGAGAACCCAGACTCCCTGGTCTCAGTGGGCCGGGTCCTTGGTAGACTGGGAAGACCAGAAAAAAAGAGTCTGTGAATTTGGACGGTCTAGCCTCCCCTCCTTACCCTGGTGTACGTCATGTCACCTAGCAACTGTGACACTAAACAGAAGCAAAAATAGATGAAAAATAGAAAAATATCAATACATTAGCATTATTAATATCACAAAACAATTAAATTAACTTAAAGGTAACATTTGAAGAACTAATTGACCC